AACCAAACACTATGTTAAAGAATCCATTTATCTTGCACAAGGCGTCGCCTAGAACCCAGTCATGACGCAAACACGTGATTAACGAAAATGGCATACAGAGTACGGCGACTCCAATGTCAGCACATGATAGGTTGATGATAAACATGTTAGTACGCGTGCGCAGTTTTCGGCGGCGGTAGACTGCTAAGCAAACTGTAGCGTTACCAATCAATGTCACCAAAATCATCAGTACCAGGCTTCCGCTCATCAGAATATGTTCTAATTCGCTGTATGTGAAAACTGTGAGCTCCTCAGATGCTGAATTGGTATCGTTGCTAATTTTGTTGCTGAATGCTGTCATATTCCTGTTTTCCCGCTCTCAGTCTTGGGAGGATTACCAATCTCAGAAGGTGGCTGAAATGAAAATGTGATAAAAAGATAATTTAAAGTATTACAAGTTTCATATTTGACGCAAGGGCAAAGTTATGAATAAGGCGTGGATTGACAAGCACAAGAAGGAGGATAAATACTTTAGGAGCTTTTACTTTTGTTTTTTTAGCTAGTATCATCTTCACTGTTTATATTGCCAATTCCAAAAGAAGATCTAAAATTTAAGGGAGGCAAAGAGATAAGTTACCTGATTTTAAAAAGAGGGGATATAGTACAGTGAACAATGAATCTGTAATAAGTCATAACTTTTTCTAGACTGGGCTTTAAAAAAAGGACCTTATTTAATCCACATTTTTTTCACCTGTCATCACTGGTCCCACGTGCACGCGATTCTGTTTAGTACAGTTCATTTGTTAGACAAAAAGCAGCCATAGCTGTAAAGGATTTATTATTTTGTCAGTTCCTTCTAAAGGAAGGGAAATTTCTGGCATGATTTATTCACTGCAATATTAATCAACTTGGTATTCTCCAGATTCTCTTCACACATCAAAGAGCAAGAGAGAGATACACTCAAGTTAAACCCATAAAATTAAACCCGGGAATTAAAATCCTCCGGCTTTGGCCGCCGGTTGGCCACATACTGCATAAAAGGCCAAGGTTCTAAATCCTTGGCTCATACTAAGTGTAATAGCCACAGCTGACGTCTGTTGGGACTTAAATACACATATGCACCCCCCCCCCGGGGGGGGGGGGGGTTGAGGGGTATTTCCTATAAAGGCCTAAACGTCAAGGCTCCGCCTGAAACGGTTCCCTTTTTAAGGCTTCAGGTATCAGAGGTATATCAAATGGTAGGGAATATACGAGTTGAAGTATAAAAAAGGGTTAAAAGGGCCTCCAATTAAAATGTTTTAAAAAGACGAGCCTTGTGGCTATAGACTTTAAACTTTACACGAAAATGAAAACGGACAGCCTCCTTTCTAAGCCATTTATTTTTATTAAGTAGGTACGTTAAGGGCTACCATGTTTTTATTATGGAGGGTATACGAAAGGGCCGTACTGTTTCTGTCAAAAATGGTTTACAAAAGGGCAATTGGTTGGACCTTGGGTCGAAGCCTTCCCTGTGTAAAACTTGATGTAGTAGTCCCCCGGAGGCACCCCTCGGCCCGAACATGAGTCAAGACAGAGTACTTAGAAGAAGGAGACGGAACATTAATGGCAACCCCTCATGAACTTTGTTTTTGAGTACTTTGCAATTGATTAACTCTCGTCAACGACCAGGGGTAACGACCGTCATCTAGAGTCCTATATAAACTCCATCGTAATCGTCCTTGCGGTCTAAGAACTGTTTTGAGGTAGTATGCTTTTGATATTTCTTCATTTCTGATTGAAGGTAACTATTAAATCGTTCCCAGAATTACTAGATACCACAATCCTCGTTATACAACGGAACAACCCTGTCTGAGATAGACGGTCAGCAACGTATGTATGCGGGCCTGTAAAGCTTGACGCCGGGTCATTTTGTATGAATTCATCCAAATTTAGGCCATCGACAATTTAATGGACTGTATGCTTTTACAACGATCCACACTTTTGTCAGCAAGTTTACACAAAATAGATGAAAGAAACATTAATTGTTCCATCCGCGAAAATCAGCTGCGAAGTCACGAAAGTGCGAGATTTCTGTTCAATCTTTCGTCTCCTTTAGTCGCCTGTGCCGCTTTTGAGTTTCTTTGTCATTGATGATGTTGCTTTTTGGTCGCTTTCTCCTCAGTTCTCAAGCTGCACAACGAAGATGCTTAAACTGAACAACTAAAGTAATTCACTCGTTAAAGGAAAGCTTTCACCAAACTCCCTTAAATTAATGTTAAATTGAGCAAATAATACTGACTGGAGCACATGCTGTTTGCGTATAAAAGCGCGATAATTGCGCGCCAACAAACTAACCATGCCCTAAACCTATTATTAGCTCGCCCACTTTGCACAAACAAGGTGTTATTTAGCCCTACTGCTACATAAACTTACCGAGGGGAGAACAGAGCCAGGCGTAAGTTTAAGTGAGAGCTCCGACACACGACTGCAACATACGTCGATAATAGAACAGCTTGTACAAGATGATAGGCTTGTCAATTTGATGACCTGTAACATACCCCCACAACAAAGGCGATCGTTAGGCTCATATGACAGGCTTTCAGTAAGTTTGTTTAAGTCTTTTGTTTACCGGAAATGTCGCTCTTTGTTTCTTAAACAACGCGTTCGAAGCCGGAATCTTTCTAAACAAGGTAAGAGAATTGGATACAGAAAACTATTAAGTGTTGGTTGTGAATGTTAGGTATAATTTTCAGAACACAAATTGAAATACGCCTAAAGGAATCTAAATAATCTTGTTTCCTGAGACTATAAAAATACTTGGGAGCCACATGATACTTGACATTTTTAGGTATGAAAGGAATGGGATAACTAAAAAGAAAATAATTTCACATGTTGACAATAATGACCGAACAATCATCAGCCCCGTGAAAGGGTAGCTGTGCGTCCGGCTTTGCTTCGTTTTTCTGAGTCAGAAGTAGCTAGATAGGCG